TCAGACTCGTTCTCTGATTCGGTTTTAAATTCATCTGATGTTCGGTCGGGTTCAAAATCGTTCACATCCTCTTCGTCGGAAAAATATTCTTGCAATAACTTTTCTAAGCTTTGCCGTTCTTTCTCAAAAATGGACATCTTTACTCACCAAAAGTATAACAACAACTAAACCGATCCGATATTGTAAACAACGTTCGCGCCGTGAAGTAAACCTTTGCAAGTCGAAATCTGTGAATAAAAGTATTATATTACATCAGCATGGTGTGGTAACACATTATTCTCATATGACCCGAAAGCAAAAATTGAAACTCAGAGGCCGCTTGAAACCAACGTGTCACCATTTTTGTTTTTTTTTTTTGTTAAATTACAGGTTTTTTATTTTTTTCAATTTTTAATAGCACAAAAGTTATTTATGGTTATTTTCATTTAAAAATTGAGAAAAAAAATTTGGCCCCACGGACAGATTTTTTTTGTCCATAGCGGCACTCAATGTGTTAACATTGTACAATAGGTACCCAAAAAAGGTGTTGATTATGTGCAAGATGTAGTTATAGTCCACTATAATTAAATTGAGGAACTGGCATCTACATGACATAACAAAAAAGCACGAGGATATTCTTCAAATCTTTTTTGTTTTATATTAGAGCCGTTGTACATATCTTTGGCCTCTATAATCATCTATGTTTATTATCTCATATAATGAGTCGCATGTTGATTCTTCAATTTCTTGGTTGCTAATAAAAAGCTCATATTTTTAGTCACGTAAAGTCTACAAAACGTAATATAAATGAAAGTTGTTCCTTATGACTAATATCTAATACTAAAACATTCTCTGTAAGGGCACGTTACATGTAAAAAACTATTTTATTTTTATATCGGCGTCCCTCAAAATTTGGCACCTATGCAGTCGCCCGCCACTTTATCCGGCGCTGCTGGAACGGTGTAGGTATACTGATATTATAATAATTAACGATGTTGCGATAAGGTTAATGCCTAGATTTAGTATTCTCTTTTATAGTTTTATATCAATTTTATTTTTCTGAACGCAAGAGATTATAAACTATAATTACAGTAAACGATTGTTGCAAAATATGATCTGTCATTAGCTACTTCACTTTATTTAACTTACTATGGGTTGCATATGAGTTATCCCTCTTTAAATTCATAGCTTGTGCAGCTTTTGATAACAGACAAAAAAAGAAAATGAATCAAAGATGGTTGATGTTTAGTGGATGCATCAGTTTACAAAATTTTCAACAAAAAGTGTAGTGGGAGGAGCTTCGTGAAATTGTAAGTAAATATTGTGAAAACTATAATGTATTAATGCCATATCAATTTTGAATTATTATGTTATTATTAGTCATTTTTCTGCATAAAATCGTACTTTATTTGAGTCTTAACCTCTAAAATTGAACGTCTGGGAAACTGGTTCAAGAAAGTTAAGAAAAACCCGTTTTCGGACACGGTGTCTGACAACCGGTATCTAGCGTAAATTTTTTATCTATCTCTGTCTAACACTTGCAATTGTTCTATATCTGTATGCCTTAATTCCATTAATGAATTACATATAAAGAATAATGTAACCAGTTTTCGGACATCTTTTCCTTGGTTGTTAAATAGATATAGAACTCGTTTTCTACGAGTACGCTTACGCGTCCGAAAAGCGGTAGCTTTCAGACGCATTACAGTTATTAACAGTAGCTATATGTGATTTATACTGCGGGTATATGTGTCTGAAAATACCATTTTCTTCTTATTACAAGTTTATTCAAAATTGAACAAATTTATCGTCGCGAATCTATCATAATAGGTACTCACATACTAACCTATCTAACAAAAATGAATTTTCAGATGACGAAACCAAAAGCGACATAAAAAAACAGAGTCCAAAACTCTTTTTAAGACAAAAAGCCGTAAATTTTGTACTTATTCCAATGCTTCACTTCAAGCAGCTCTGCAGCCTATTCGGGAAACTAGAATAAGTGTGAGGGAAGCGAGCAGGCGTTATGGTAGGTAAAAAAATTAGTATGTGCGATCCATCTTAATACAAATGTTATTTGTTAATAGGTATCCCCAGAGCTACCGTTCATGACAAATTTACTGGAAAATCTTCAGCTGAGGAGAAAAAGACCGGACCGCCACCATTGCTGACTGTGAAAGGTGAGAAGAAAACTGCAGACTGGGTGATAAATAGTGCCAAACGTGGCTTCCCAAACTCAAAAACCGATCTAATGGAAGCTGTAGCAAAAATTGCAACTGATACCGTCAATTTAAACTCCTTACCGAATGGTAAACTTGGAGTTAGATGGTAATATAAAGGATTTCTGAAAAGACAACCCGAAATTTCCCAAAGAGAGGCAGAGGGAATCAACAGAGCGACGGCTTTAGTAACAGAAGAATCAATTCGATCGTGGGTTACACTTTACAAAAATATCTTGAAGACAATGATTTTCAAGGTGTGTTAGAAGACTCGAGTAGAATATTCAACGGGGACGATTCAGGATTTTCCTTGTGCTCTAAGACTGGGAAAGTCTTGGGGCCGAAAGGCTGGAAAAATGTATATGTAATTAAGTCCATCAAGGAAAAAGAAAATACCACTGTACTTATAACATTCAATGGATCAGGAGCAGTATGTCCTCCTCTGGTCATTTTTCCATACGTTAGACCCATGTCCCCAAAAATTGGATTATTGGAACATCTGACTCGGGTTGGATGACTGGGGAATTTTTATATGAGTATGTCTCAAATGATTTTAAGTCATGGCTCACAACAAATCAATTAAAGCGACCGGTTTTGTTGTTAATAGATGGACATAAGTCACATATGACTCTGCCATTAAGTCAGTTTTGTGATGAAAATAATATTATTCTGCACGCTTTACCCCCTAACACGACCCATATTTTACATCCCGCTGACGTGAGCGTGTACAAACCCATTGTAGGGGAAAGGATGAGGTAGCTGGTTCGATGATTTAAAAGTAAATATTTGAAAACTTAGAATCTCACCTTTCTACATTTGGTAGATAAAAAATAAATAAATATTAACCTCGAAGGGCCAGCAACCAATAGGTCGCAAAATTGCGAATTAGTAAACTTAGATTAAACTAAAACAATAGAATAATTCAAATAAGAATAAAAGCTAGAAATATTTTTATTATATTATTTACAGAAATAAATAGAAATAGCGGAATCGCCAACAAATCACCCTTTTATAATAATACAACATAAATGTTTATATAAAATGTTCTTAAAGCGCACAACTGTTTATATTCATTTAGAGAACAAGAAAGTTTATATGTAGTTTATTGAAAATCCGGCAACCCTGTAATTTGTCGGACCGGCATTTATGAAATGTTGACACAAAACTTTAAATTATCTTCTGTATAAAAGAATAATTTCAGGTACTTACATATTTGATGCACAGACACTGAATTTAATATAGTTAATTAACTATTTAATAAAATATCTTATTTGAAAACTGCTTCTATTTGAGAAGCTGGAAAATGGTTTGACTCAGGTCCTTCTATTTGAGAAGGCAGAAACGAAGTGGCGTTGTTAAGGGTAGTTTTGAATCATCGAGTTTTGAATAGATTAATGTGAAAAAATGACAGGCACAGGAGATACGAAACAGCACGGAGAAGGAATGTCATGCTGATCGCATAGACTTTAATTTAGTAAGAATATATTAGTGAGAATAATAATAATTATTATAATAAAAAACAAACTATTTTAGAAAATATAATTAATTTTCTACACCCATGACCCATGAAGCAAGAATGGAAAAATACAGTTAAAAATTTGCAGAAACGCCCTGAAAATTCTATTCAAATAATCACAAAGATTAATTTCTGCCAAGTATTTGTAAATGCAAAGTCATATTGTAAAAGGACTCCGTAAATGCGGATTATATATCCGTTTAACCTTGACAGATTATATAATATCCCTTAACTACACAAAATGTGTAAAAAAAATCTAGAAAAAGAATGTCAACAAACTGTTTCTGCAGGTGTCTCCGAAAAGATGTTAACGGTAAATGATTTTGAAGCTTCCAGGAGAGTAATTGAGTAAATTTCAAATGATTTGACAAAATATGGTGTCAATGTAGATGTTGTAATCACCGAAATTAAGTTCCAACAATCACTATTGGAAAAAGATTCCAATACAATAATTCAACCGTCCACTGCACCAACCGCACTTCAGCAGATCAGGCTGTGAATATTGCTGTGGGAAGTATTGTTCCTATGGACCATGTAACTTTGCTACCTGTTGATAGAATGAAATTTGAGGAAGGTGGGCTTTTGAACTTTGAAAACAATTCGTGGATAAGTAAAGAAAGCTCAGAATCCGGAACTATTTACTGAACAGTGAAACTTACGACTTTTGTGAAAACGAAATTGTAACTTTGTCCGAACATTAAAATCGAAATGAAAACGAAAACTCGGGAGAAATTAAGATATTTTACAATGAGAAAGAAAAATGTGATGAAAACGATGCAGGTGATGCAAAAGAAAACGAAGGGTAAACTACAACGGAAATAGACAGATACAAAGGAAATGAAGGATGAAACAAAGAAGAAAATGATAACGAGACAGAAAGTAAACCAACAAGAAAGTTGGACTGGAACTGAAAAAGAAAGATACACAAAAAATAAGGAAGAAATTCTAGGTCTGGCCAAGCAGACTGACTGAAAGGAAAATATTGGGAAGAATTTTTTGAGGTAGTAAAGAGCCAGAGAGACAAAAGAAGAACCATGGCTGAGATCGTGAGTCTTTTTATCAGAAGTAGTAAAAGCATCAATATTGAGAATTTTGGGACATTTAGAAAGAATATATTAAAAAATAATGTCTTGCAATGAAAAATAAGAATATGGAAACCTTATAGCAACAGACGAAATAAATGTAATAAAAATCAAACAAATGGCGTAGAAATATCAAACTAATGGTACAAGAATGCACAATAAGAAAAGTAGTTCAGAATTTCCAATAAAAATAAAATAAATAAGTAATTCAAATACAATTTATTTATAAAATATAACTACATTTATAATAACTTTAAAAATAGATATAAAATGTATATAACTTTAATCTAATTTTCTATTACATCTTTATTTATTATTTTCTCTTTCACTTCTTATGTTGAGTTTACTTGAGATGGAACTGGCACTCCTGTCTGTGTAATTGGGATAGTTCGTTGTTCCCCTAAATTTTCATTGATTATAGCTGCAGTGATTGTCAATACTCCATCACTGGATAATCTTGATTCTACCCTCTCAATGTCACAGTTGTCTGGCAATACATACTTTCTGATTAAATGTCTATAAATTGCACCATACTCTTCTGGTTTTTCTTCATGTTTGGCTTCTATAGTAACTGATTTATCATCATTTACCTTGACAGTGATTTCTTCAGGTTTAAAATGCTGTACATCAAAGTTGGCTTCAAATTTATTTTTGTCAACAGTAACAGAGGAACTATGATGTTGCACTTCAGAATTCACATTCACATCTTTATTGTTGTTGTCATCTTCTGGAAAGAACATTGCTTTGGCTATTGCGATGGAATTTAAGACATCTTCTGTAATATTTTCCACTAGATTGTTTTCATGATTACTTTTGTCACTTGTAACAGAGCAACTAGGTTGTTGCACTTCAGAATTCACATTCACATCTTTATTGTTGTTATCATATTCTGGACAGAACATTGCTTTGGCTATTGCGATGGAATTTAAGACATCTGTAATATTTTCCACTAGATTGTTTTCGTGATTACTTTTGTCAATTGTAACAGAAGAACTAGATTGTTGCACTTCAGAATTCCTATTCACGTCTGGATTGTTGTCATATTCTGGAGAGAACATTGCTTTAGCTATTGCAATGCAATTTAAGACATCTTCTGTAATATTTTCCGCTAGATTGTTTTTGTAATTATTTTTTTCAATCGTAACAGAGCAACTAGGTTGTTGCCCTTCAGAATTCTTATTTACCTCTTGAATATTGTTCTCATATTCTGGACAGATCATCGCTTTAGCTATTGCGATGGAGTTTAAGACATCTTCTGTAATATTTTCCACGAGATTGGTTTCGTAATTATTTTTGTCAATCGTCACAGAGGAACTAGGTTGTTGCACTTCAGAATTCTTATTCACATCTTGATTGCTGTTGTCATATTCCGGACAGAACATTGCTTTGGCTATTGCGATGGAATTTAAGATATCTTCTGTAATATTTTCCACTAGATTTCCGGGATCTGCTCCACGCCCAGGACAGTTGAGTGCCCAAAAGTGGTCTCGAAATATGTGTGGAAAAAAATCCATGTTTTATACTTGCTGATTTAAAATGTTTTAAGTACAAAAAGTAGCAAAATAAAAATTCAACAAAACTTTTTACTAATAATTCACTCGGTCGCACTTGAATACTATAGTCGAACTGATAATTGTAATAATCAGGCATTGTATTTATATCGACGAGTTTGAAAACAAGAAGTGTCTAGAATAAAAATTTAAACAGATGATTGATGATTCAATATTGTTTTTAATTGGATGACATTTATGATGACTTTTAAATTTTGACCGTTCGAGGATCGTTAAGAATCGAATTCTAGTATCGATCGTTTATTTTTCTGTTTGTTTTACTCGTCTATTTCACAGGCCACTGCCAATGTGATTTGTGGTCTATTTACAACTGTTTAAACATATTATATGTAATAACGTTGGAAATATTTCAAACAAATGATTTATTGTAATAAAATTATACGATATGTTAAACCATTTCTTGCGCCAAGAAAAAAATTAATAGGGTACAATAAAAAGGCACCTAAAACTAGGCAACTTTTTTTACGTTATGGCACAAACGGTATCAGCATTCCTTTCGTCATTAATGTTGAAAGATTAAAATTAAAAATACCTATTTCTGTTTTATTATTCTGTGAACTGATACACAAAAGCGATTGGAAATGAAAATTAGAAACTTAATTTTGTATTAGCAGTGATCTGGGTTTATTTGTGCAATTAAAAAACAAGAAATGTAAACAAAACGGAGACATTAAATTAGGTGAGAGAATATTAAAAGAGACAGCGCGATAAACAAAAGATAATTAGATTATAAAATGTATCACAAAATAGATTTGTGAAAAAACACGCGATAAAGGCATATAAATGACTAGAAGAAATTATATAGTTTGTATAGGTACTTATGACAAAAATAAACAGTAAATACACTGGGTACGAATATAAAAGGTTTACAAAACATTGTATCAAGATATAGATATAATTATAAGTCCTAAAGACTTTACGTACATGCATCTTATTATGTGTAAAATGTGTAAAAAAATATATTATTTCACTCCAGATATATTAAGAGTAGGTAACGAAAAATCTAATATTTTCTTGTATCCTGATATTCCATTATGTAGATGAGTTAGCTAATGATACATCATATTTTGCACCAATCATTTACTGTAATGATAGCTCGTGATCTTTAAATCATCTGGGAAGATATGGGAATCAATGATATGGGAAGAGAAAGTATGTTATGGGAAAGAGCTTAGACAAGGAAATTCTCGAAAGATTCGTCCAAAGGGTAAACTAAAACTAGGCAACTTGTTTAACCTTCTCGCAGTATCGATATCAGTATTCGATTTGTCACAGTTCTCGAATGATTCAAATTTAAAAGTCATTGTCGAGTTGTAGATTGCTTATATTTTTGTTTTTGAGTAAATAAAACAAAGTATAATTTTTTATTAAATATTATTATTTTTAAGGTTATCTGTAGTTTTATATTCTAAGGGTTGAAACTGTCTTTTTGAAAAAAATTGTCTTTTTGCTCGATGGTTGAAACATAGTTATAAGGGATAAATCAATTAGGTATCTTATAAAATATAGGTAGAAAGCATAATTATAATTTTAAGGATATTTAAAAAAATTTACATTAAACTGTAGTTTCATCCCAACTCTTAATCATGATTCAAAAAACTATTGAAAGTGAAAACTGCCATTTTTGTGTTTGATGCAGATTTAATGGTCTAAATGAGCCACGAAATAAAGAAAACGGAGAAATTAGAGTGAGAATATTAAATGAAACTGCAAAAAAAGGTCGGAACCAAAATTAGAAAGAATTTCAGTTAAAAGAATAATGATACAAAAAATAGGTATTCATAGAAAAAGCTGTGGAAAAAGTAAGAGAAAGATTTACAAACGACGCGAACAAATTTAATATTTACATAAACAAAAATATGCATGAGGTCTTGCCGAATATAGATTAATCTTTGTTTAAATAATTTATAGAGATGAATATCAAGATGTAAGTGTAATCTAAGTTTTGAGGACATTAGGACATTTTTCCAGCATAACTTACAATCTTTGCGTGTTTTATGCTCATTATTGTATTTATAAAGTAGTAAAAGAGTGTCAGTTGGAGCAAACTTTTCCAAAAAAAATCTATTATTTGGTTATATCCATAGTTTTTATGTGTGGTTTTATACTAATACTTTTAAAAACATCTGAAATTTTTTGTTTTAATATTAACAGATTAGAATAAGTTTTAGCGTTGATTGAATAACGGTTTTAGTAAGCGCTAATACACTGCTTTAACTAGGAATCTATTTTAGGTTACCCAATGTTAGGCAACATTTATAAGGCAATCATTAATTACAAAAAACATATTTAGATTTGAAATATAAATGTATAATCAAAGAATATAGACGCATATGCGTCTATATTCTTTGTTATAATCATTGCCTAAATGTTGCCTAACAAAAAATTCAAACAATAGAGTCATTAAAGTAGTTTAATCTTCGTATACTATCGATATCGATATCACTAATCTAAATCGATTCTGGTATTCAAAATTCAAAGTCATCATATTTTTTTCAATAACAGTGCTAAATTAAAATGTACAGTACATAATACATATGTTAGGTATGTAAATAACAAACTCAATTAAGACATTAAATCAAGACAATAAATAAAATAAAAAGAAAATGTGCCGATAAATACGTGGTGTGAAATAAACAAAAAACTATCAGGGAATAAAAATGCAGAATGAAGGATAGAACATTTTGTTTAATCGATAATTTTGGGTTTTTAGTACTTATATTTTGTTAATAGCTATAAATGGGATATTTTACCACAAGATTTTTTTATAAATTAGGTATAACAAAAAATAAGAAAGATCGAAAAAGCTCAGTTTTATTTTCTAATTATCTGTATGTAATAACTTGATTAATATTGCGCAATACTTAAAAACACAAATTAATAGCAAGGAAATTTTAAGGCCATCTTAAACCATCTCATAATTAATAATATGGAATAGATAAATAAAATAAGGACTTTCAGATTTAGGTAATGAAAGTATTCGATCGATCATCCATAACACTATTCGATTAGTCGCGGTTCTCGAAAGATTTTAATTTAAAAGTCATCGTAGGATTCGTGTCATATCATAGGTGTCATTCAATTAACAACAAACAATATTGAATCATCTTTTTATTAAATTTTTATTCTAGTAAATTCTTGACACTTCTCGTTTGGAATCAGTTTAATATAAATACAATGTCAGCTTCTTACAATTATCAGTTCAACTATTGTATTCCAGTGAGACAAAGTGAATTATTAGTAAAAAGTTTGAAGTTTGAATTTCATTATTGTACTTCTAAAGAAATTTCTATATCAGCAAGTATTAAATATGGCTTTTATTCCACGTATATTTCATGACAACTTTTGGGCACCTAACTGTCCTGGACGTAGCGCAGATTCCGGAAATGTAGTGAGAAACATTACAGAAGATGTCTTAAATTCAATCGCAATAGCTCAAGCTATGTTTGGTCCAGAATATGGCAGAAACAATCAAGAAGTAAATACAAATTCTGAAGGGCAACGACAAAGATCCTCTGTCACTGTTGACAAAAATAAATTCCAAGCCAACTTCGATGTACAGCATTTTAGACCTGAAGAAATCACTGTCAAGGTAAATGATGATAAATCTATTACTATAGAAGCCAAACATGAAGAAAAACCAGATGAGCATGGTGCAATTTACAGACATTTCATCAGAAAATATATATTACCAGAAAATTGTGATATTGACAGGGTAGAATCCAGATTGTCCAGTGATGGAGTATTGACTATCACTGCTCCCACAATCACTGAGAATGCAGCAGAACATAGAACCATTCCAATTATAAGGACTGGGGAACCAGTTAGACCCCAAGAAAACTTGACACATGAAAGGAAGGAGCCAGTAGAAGATAAAGATGTAATGGAAAGTTAAAAGTAGAATTGTTACATATTTTTTATGCACATTACCACATTATAAACTATTAGGGTATGGAGTTTTATATTTATTTTTTATATACTTATTATTAAAATTGTAATAGTTTTTAGAGTAATCATTTAAATAAAGTTTTATAATTTAGATTATTTACTTATTTTGTGTTTGAATTTAGAAAATATTGAATTTTCAGTTTTATATCATAATGAATTTGTTTTTGGAGGCATTATTTATATGCTTTCCAAATATATAGTTACACTTATATATCTTGATAATGAAACACTGGCTTCTGTACTTTTTTGTCTCTATTTGTTCATTTGTTGTTCATGATAATTTGAGTTTATCCTCACATTGGTCTCCCTATTCCTTTTTATATTAGTTTTATTTATTATTCTTTTTTGTTTTATATAGTTTTAGTGTTATAACTGATTTTCCAAAAGATTATCTTATATGAGACATTGAAAACCAAAGTGGTCAATTCAGCAATGCTGGTATTCTAGAAACGGTAACTTAACATTAACATATTGGCATACATGGGAACATAGAGACTGACTGTAATTATTTATTTATTTTACAAATTTATTGTAAAATAAATAAATAATCATAGTCAGTCTCTATGTTCCCATTTTCGCCAATATGTTAACATAGTTAGCGTTTCTAGAATACCAGCATTTCTGACTTAGACCACTCTGGTTTTCAACAGCTCATATGTTTCTCAGTATTTCTGTTTCCATGGTTATGTAACACAAATATGAAATAAAAGTAAATCTGAACTTATTGAAATTATTGAGAACTGTTAAAACAAATGGTTTTAATATATTTTTTCACTGCAATTAAGTCCACAAATCACTGATGATATAAAGCAAAATTTGAAAAGAAAAGTTCTCCTAATCATCCTTGAAAATGACAAAAGCAGATAGGAAGAACAGTCATTTTTGTCATATGTCAAAGTGTGTCTTCTACTATACTTAAACATAGAAAAGACACAAATCATAAGCACCAAATAACTAGTAACAAACCTTCAGGAACAAATGTGACAAAACAAATGTGAATGAATTTTTAAAAATCCAAATGAAAATATGCTGTGTTATTGGTAGAAAATATGTTAAACTGCAAAGAATACTTTGAACAGTTTACACAGCATTATA